AGGGAGGGTGTATTGATTATTTTAAAAATTTCTTAAGGCAAAATGAAAACTTTTTTGAAATCTTTAATAATATTTTAAAATAAATAATTTTATCCCACAATGCAAAAGCAAAACTAATTTTAAAAATAATTAAAATAGAGATTTTAAACACAAAAATTTCACAAAAAAATTGCAAAAATCAAATGTTGAAAAGTAAATAGAGAGAAAACACTAGAATTATAGTGGTTCAATAAACTTGACCTACATCTACTCCCCAAAAACCACCATTCCAGGTATTGCACTAAAATTAGTGTCTCTCCTTTTGCCCCTACAGTAATATAGAGAAGGCCTTACAAAATCTTTCCACCGACCTGGTGAGGCAAAGTACCTTGAATCCTTTTATTCCTTCTTTGAGTAGGAAGAGAACCTAAAAATTCTTTTACTACCTCCTGAAGTAGGCAGAGAACCATGAAATTCCTTTACTCCCTCCTGGATTAGGCAGAGAACCTTGGACCTGATGCTGATGAAAGTTCCCCTAGAGCCACCAAGAAACTAAGGAAGAAGCTTAAAGAATATGATGGAAACCTTGCTTGGAGAAAACTTTGTGAATCCCTCGCAACTCCCCCTCAAAAGGATCTCTCACTCAAAGCTCTCCTATTTTAATTCTCTAAGCTCTCTCTCAGGTCAACTCAACAGCAAAAGATCTCTTTAAAAATAATATGAGAGATTAAATAGAAAGCCTCCAAAAGAAGCCCTAATTTTCAATTTACCATCAAAGATCATTTAGTATGATCCTTAGATCATCCTATATGAATAGTACAAAATAGCCCTTTCAACTAGTACAATCAGCATTTCCTTGTACGACCACTTCAAGTATTTGTACAAATTGTCTAGTACGATTCTTCGATCATCCAGGATAATTAGTTCAAACTACTTTATTAATAATTTAGTATGATATGGGACGATGGGTAGCAATTTAAGTATCATCCCGTACATTCCTCAAGATGTCCAATATGATCCTCAGTATAATTAAAAGAAAATTATGATTTTCATCTTGGACGATGGGAGATCATCCCATAAAATATCAATGATCATCCAATATGATCATTATAGATCATCCCGCACAATCTAATTGCACAAACTAACCATAATTAGTCCCCTAATCATAGGATCAATTTAGGCATGATTGTTATACATCGTCCAATACGATGTGGATCATTCTGATGTATATATCATACAGTGCGAACACGTGGATTATATTGGATGATCTTCCATAAGGGATCGTATTAACTATATTTAAATCATCCAATGGGTTATGCCACATGGATCGTACAGTGCTATGTTGTAATTATACAGGATGATCACTAATAATTGACCAATTTGAGCCATTGGATGTGTTGGATCTGGGATTAGAATTTTTGTTAAGATCATCTTAATGTGAACAAAAATTGAAGAGTTTAAGGTATGGAATGTGATGATCAGAAGGGTTTCAAAATGAAAATAAAAATATGAAAGACATAAAACAAAACAAGAACAATAAATAAAAAATAATCACAAATCAAAATAAAAAAACACATTTTTTTAATCGATTGATTCAAGTAAATGATAAATTTACCTTTTTATTATATTTAAAACCCTATAAGAAATGAATTTACAATGCTAAAATCCACAAATGTTAGAAAATCGATCTTATTAACCCTAGCTCGGACTTCTTACAAGTCAATTTTCTTTTAAAACAAAAAACTAATTTAAAAAAAAATTAGATAGGAAAAGTGATCATTTCAAACTTCGTTTCAATAAAATATATGATAAAATAATTTTGCAAAGTAATGAATCAAGAGACATGCTTTTCAAGTTCAAGTGTTTGAAGATATCAAGTGGCACATGAATTTTTCTAAGATTTAAAGATTTGAAAGAAAAGGAAGATTTTTTTCTTTGTGGTCTCATTTTGTGCATCTTTTTCAATTATTTGATGCACTTTGCGCATCTTTTAATTTTTGATATGCTTTGTGTTTCTTGTAATTATTTTATTGTCATAGCAAATATTTTTAGTTTTGGGCTTATTTAGTGCCGCTTGTCATTTTTTGAATTTGATTCTTTTCAAAATCTTTAAGGACTCTTAGTTGTGATATAAAAAAGAGTAAACTACAAAATAGAATCATATCCATATGATAAATTTAACAATCTGGATTAAAAAAACTTAAAATTGACTCATTCATTTAGAATATTATTCATATAAGATAGTTGCTGTAGAAAGATAAAATAGTTCAATATTTCAAATTCTAATTTTTAATTTGAAATAGATTTTGATTCAAAAAGAAAATACACCACTACATGAGTTAGAGGAATAGAAATAATCAGTAATGTTTCTTCCTTTAACTATTTTAGAGAAGTCAATCACTGCTTACATATTTCTAAATAAAATAAGGCAAAAATGCCATTTAAAAAATTGCACAACACGTGTGAGCAGTGATCTGATTCTTAAAACTATTAAGGAAAGCATCAGAAAAATCAAAAACATAAAACAAAAACACATAAAAAGAAATAAACATATAAATCAAACAGAAAAAATAGAAACCTAAATATAAATCATTAATTATAAGCATGAATGTCTATCACACCTACTCTGATTCTTAAGGTGATAAATATTTCAAAGGCCAATAATTTTGTAAAGATATCAACAAGTTAATTTTTAGTGGCTATATGGTGTAGCTCTATACTATGCATTTGTAGTATGTAAATTATTATTTTAATATGTCAATACTTCAAACATTTTTCTATCTCAACGATATCTATTTTCTACCTCTCAATCTTACCCCTTATTTAGAAAAGTAGAACATCCATAATAACTTCAATAAAAAGGCCACCAAATATAAAATATATTTAGAGATATATATAAATATGTATTTAATTATAAATTCTAAACTATTACACTCACTTATATTTTGTTATATCCAAAAATTAATTTCTATTGAAAACTTTATTGATTAGTAACATTTCTCTTGCTAATTCATGATTAATCTTATTAACATAAAATATTTAAATTGCATAGTCAAAAGAATCGTTCAAGAAATTGTTATAAGATATAAAATTTATTATAACATAGCAATTAATTTGTAAATGAATTAAAATAAATTTGTTAAATGTTTACACTTTGTGTTTCTTGTAATTATTTTGTTATTATTGCACATCTTTTTAATTTTGGACTTTTTTTTATGTCTCTTGTCATTTTTTTTTAGTTTGATTCTTTTCAAAACCTTTAAAAACTCTTATTTATGATATGATCTTCCAAATATAAGAGAAGAAAAATACATTCTCTAATATAAAGAATAGTAAACTACAAAATAGAATCATATCCATATGATAAATTTAACTTGGATAAAAAAACTTGAAATTGACTCATTCACTTGGAATATTATTCATATGAGATATATTACTGTAGAAAGATAAAATAGATCTCTATTTCAAATTCCAATTTTTAATTTGAAATTGATTTTGATTCAAAAAGAAAATACACCACTACATGAGTTAGATGAAGAGAAATAATCAGTAATGTTTGTTCCTTTAACTATTTTAAAGAAGTCAAACACTGCTTACATATTTCTAAATAAAACTAAAGAAAAAATGTCATTTAAAAAATTTCACAATAGGAGTGAGTAGTGATCTGATTCTCAAAACATTGAAGAAAAATAACAGAAAAACCAAAAAGATAAAACAAAAACACATAAAAAGAAATAAAAATATAAATCAAACAAGAAAATAGAAACATAAACATATATCATCAATTTCAAGCATGAATATCTATCACACATAATCTGATTCTTAAGGTGTTAAATGTTTCAAAGGCCATTGGTTTTATAAAGATATCAGCAAATTAATTTTCAGTGGCTATATGGTGCAATTCTATTCTCTGCAAATTTAATAAGTAAATTATTATTTTAATATGGCAATACTTCAAACATTTTTCTATCTCAAGGATATATATTTTCAACCTCTCAATCTTACCCCTTATTTTGAAAAGTAGAACATCCATAATAACTTCAATAAAAAGGCCTCCAAATATAAAATATATTTCAAGATATTTATAAAATATATATTTAATTATAAATTCTAAACTATTATACTCACTTATATTTTGTTAAATCCAAAAATTAATTTCTATTGAAAAACTTTATTGATTAGTAACATTTCTCTTGCTAATTCACGATTAATCTTATTGTGAAAGAAAATTGTTATCTTGTTATAAGATAGTAAAATTTATTATAACTTATCAATTAATTTGTAAATGAATTAAAATAAATTTAATATACATTCCATACTTTTAATTTAATATATCAATGTCAGACTATTATATCATATTTACAATAAAATTTTAATTTTGTTTTCTAAATATGAATTAATTATTTTTTATTTCATTATTAATTCAACAAAAAAATATGTATATTAAATTAAAAAATTATATTAATAAATTCTTTCTATTATCATTAAAAAAATCTACCATTTCATTTATATAAATAATGCTGAAAATTAATAATTTAATCATTTTATCAAAGAATAGATAATATAATTTTTCCGTACAGTACAATGAGTCAATATAAAATAGCATAACATTATAACTTTTAATTTATCTATTAAAACTATTTGAATTAGATTGAGCCCCATTTTTTCTTTTAAAAAATTTGAATCAAAATCTTTTATTGTTAGTCACAATCAACTTATCCATATATTTTCATGTGATCCAAAGACTTCATTTGTAAGAATATTAACCCTCATCAATATACTTACCAGTTTTAAATTAAAACAAATTTTAGTGCACAAGTCCTCCCGCATCTGTAAGAACATGTTCAGGTTTCATCCCTTTGGTTTAGCTGATCCTCTGTAAGAAGACAGCATAACAAAGATTAAACTAAAGTGCATAAAAAGGAAATAATCTTCACCCCACTTAAATGTGTTAATACTTACCGAAGAAACTCTTGAATATGAACATTATATATGTGATGTGTCTGTAAATTTACCTTCAATTGTTGGCTAAATATACCTTCATGGCCCAGCATCTTTGTTTTGACAAAATAATATCATACAGGAATTCTAAACTATGCGTCCTCAATGCTTTCATGACACGATGAAATCAAGAAACCTAATTCGCATAATTTACACACGAAAGCAAAATAAAAAGCTGCATTAGCAGAAATCTGTCATTCATCTTCTTAATTTCTTCCTAGCAAGTCAATTGGGGATTTCCTTCCCAAGTTTCAGCAATAGGATGATGGACAAGGACAAACAATTTTACATTCGTGACATAAAAATAACAATATAGATACCTCCCCGCATAGAGTATTAAGAAGGAAATCAGAATTGATCAATCCTGGCCTAGCCCATTGCATACTTTTGCGTCCAGCTCCTTGCCGTGGTCTCATACTTGGCACGGTCCGTTTTATACATATGTGCGATCTCAGGAACCAATGGATCATCTGGGTTCGGGTCAGTCAAGAGGGAACAGATGGAGAGTAGAACCTAACAAAAGGACAACCATTCAAATTTGCTCAGGAAAATGTACATGACAAACGAATGAATGCCAACCATAATTATGCACTGCCATCTTCAAATGCTTAGTAATGGCTTGAAATGTTGGGAAGACAAAAAAAAAAGTGTGTTTTGTACTTCTTTTAAGTCATAACATCAAACTTGAGAAATAGGGGAAAAGCAGAGGCTTACATTGCATGGAAATAAAAATGGGATAAGAAATTTACAAAGCACCAAATTTTTAGCAAGGCCTGATTGAGATAAACTTATGTGAAATGACACATTATATTTCAAAATTAAGTTTGTCAAGAAATTTTGGTTCGATGTCCAAGCATAATGAACCATTCACTTTATACCATGTTACTCTACCACTAGTCAATTTAAGAACAAAATGAAATTCCATGAATACTTCTAGGGAAAAGGGTAATTAGCCCGGTTTATTTACATCAGTAAACCAGGTATCATCACAATAAAAAAAAAATTTAAAAAGAGAACTTTTTTCCGCAAATAATGAAAGGAAATTAAAACATCTCAAGGAATTTTAACCTTGGAGATTGTTAACGCAGGGCTCCATTGTTCCTTGAGGATGTCCAAGCAAATACTACCATTGCTGTTAATATTTGGATGGAAAACTTTTGTCCTGAAAGCAACCTGCAACATTAAAACAGAACGGGAAAGCATTCCATTATTAGGTTCACCACCAGCTCTAAAAAATGCGAACAATTTGCATCAAAACAAAAACTAGATGCACTCTAAGATGGCAAAATGGTTGCTTCAGTTCCATTAAAATTTCCTTTTAGTTATGAATAATTACTATTTACGGACTGAAATAATAAGATAGAAAGCCTAGAGCAGCCCAAATATATCATAAGGTTGGCCAAAACTCTTGGTTATTGATAGCAGATTAGTAGCTTTAAGGATGTTAGGATAAAAGTCATCTAAATACATTGTTTTATGGATTGTCTAACATCTTAAAATGACATGTAAGCCTCAAATATATGGTGATTTGTCCCATGCTCTTAAAGTCTTAATGCCGCATTCCATAAGAGATCAGACTGGAAACCCAATGCAATTCAAATACAATAATTCCATTAAAACGTCAAAACAAACATCATAAATAGTTATTAAACAAAGTTTGTGTTCAATACTGTATCAAACAAGCTCCTAAGTAAACAATATCATGCTATCATAGCATACCATTATAAAAATTATAAGCAACCCTAATGTTATTCCATCAAACCCTCACAATATCAAATAGGGGCTCATAGTTGCTACACCAGAAACATACTAATTTAAGAAAAAAAGTTGATGGATCAAAATCACACCGAAACCATCGCATCTAACAACATCATTATATCAAAACAGGAGGATAACGATAATCTCCAGTCTAAAGATATCCAGTTTCATGCCTTAACCAAAAGTTACTCGAATTCTCTCTCTTCAAACCATTGTATCCTTGTTTTCATCTCCTTCACTTGCTCTTTTTTCTAATGTGCTTACAACTCTGAATTCCACCTAATGTAAATTCTTATATTTTCTATCCATAGACCTGACCATAGCTGAAGCCGACCTGATTCACATGAAATCCATCTAGCTTGGGACAAGCTCGACAATGTTTCCAAAGAACTCTCCAAAGTGAGGGACTCCCTCAAGCCATGAGGGCAACTTTCATAACCCGACTGGGAAGTTTGATGACATGAGGTTACTAACTAATATATGTATGTAAGTTGGGCTACATAGCACCTAAGGCTCATCATTATTTTACAGGTGTCTATGTAGCCATTCTTATAGCGACCAAAGCCCTAATCCAAATCTATAAATAGAGGGCTAGAGGTGGAGCTCAGGTTATGCAATCTTTTGAACTCAAACCCATTTAAGGAAAACAAAAGCTATCTCCCTAGAATTCTGTTTCTCCCTTTCTTTACTCTCTTCACACAATGTTCTTAGTAAAGTTGGGACGCGATCAATGGACAATATTGGTTGCAACACCCTAAAAGGTGTAGTGAGGGTAGAGTATTCCACAAACTATAGAAGAGGAGCATTGCATGAAGAAGAATTACAGAACATGAAATGATCCATAAATATGGTGAAACAACAGGAGTTGATAACTATAAGGCAGATCACAGAGTTCAAAGAGACGATGACTCAAATGATCAAGTCACATTGGAGCGAATGCCGAGGACCACTTCTCACGTTGAGTTATCGATGAGATCCTTTTATTTTGTCGAATGGAGGAAACTATATATAGTAAGGATGTTAGCTTCAACATCGAATGTTCATGAAACCTACTACCATGATAATGAAGGTGCAACATCCTCTCATTGCTGAGAAGAAACTCAGTCTGAGAAGAGAAAGATGTCATTGACCAAAGCTTTCTCTTGGAAGATAGTAAAAGAGAAGCTCTAGATAAAGTTCAAGATCCCACTTGGATTCATACAAGGGGAGGACAAATCTTATAGATCATATCTTCTATTTTGAATCTACTATTTCATGGCTCGACATCAATGATGCTACAATGTGCAAGCTGCTCTTTACAGCTTTCAAATAATCACCTTTCCACTTGAGTCATCACCTAATTCATTAAATTAAGGAGAATGCTCATCACTCATTTTACCAACACACAATGATTGCTAAATAATTTGCAAGCTTTATAGCAAATGAGTTAGGAACTAGGTGAATCTATGAAGAGTTTCATTATGTGATTCCAAAAGGAAATGGTAGACATGAAACATCTAGATCCGGCAGTAGCTCAAGCTTCCTTAACCCAAGTTCTTTATGAAGGACCTCTACGACATGCACTCAACCAACAATAGCCGAGAACACTATCCGAGTTACTTGAATTCATTAACAATCATATAAATGCCAAGGAATACAATTGCAGGATGAAAACGTTTGCAATATGAGGACACGAGAAGTTTAATCATATAAATGCCGACTAATTCTAAAAAAGGATGAAAACATCAACTCTAAGAAGAGCCACGAATGAAATAAGTTCACTACCAAGCAACTTCAATCATCACATAAGTTGCAGTTGATTTCAAAACTATGGGCTATTGTTGGTCAGAGAAATGGATCAAATTAGTATATTTTCTCTAACAAGGGGGCATAAGTTCATCCCGGTCATAATCAAGTACTTCACAAAATAGATTAAGGTTAAAGCATTGGTGAAGATGACGTGACTTGGAAGCAAAGACAACAAAATAGATAAGAAGAAAATGCAGGAAAAAAATGAGGCTAATTTTTTATTACTCCAAGAGTAATGAAAGATAAAATTGACCAACTATTCAAGATATAGATCATCTCCCCACAAATCATAGTTGCCTCTAGAAAACATATCCCTAAAGAGCAAAATAAACTCAGCACACATAAGATGAAAACCCTAAACAAAACTCCCCCTTGAATAGTCATAACACGCAATAAACACAATTAAAACATTCCTAAATAGCTCCTCCTTAATTCCTCCTCCTTACATAATGAATGATAGCTCCCCTGGTCCCAAAAAGGGAAGCCAAAACTTCCCCTCATGTGCCCCTGATTCCTCTTAGCCAACTGGATGGTTCGGCTTAGGCTAGGCAAGCCAATTGGGCCTGCTTGGTGGGCCCCCCTAGCATATTAATACGCACCCTCTACCCCAACCAAAGATGGATCTTGTCCTCAAGGAGAAAGGATGAGAATGATTTCTTGACCATCTCGTATCCCATGTGGCTTCATCCTCCAACAAATCCTTTCACTTGATTAGTACCTCCTTTGTGTCTGTCTCTCCTAGGTGCAGCCCCACTACTTCTAGGGGCTCCAAATAGCCTCCATGTCTTCTATCAAAGTCGAGGGTAATGATGACGGTGTATGATCTCCTATCGCACGCCTCAACTGTGAGACATGATATATTAGGTGCAATGCTAACGAAGGTGATAATCCTAATCAATAGGCCACTACTCCGATGTGCTCCAAAATCTCATAAGGCCCAAAGTATCATTGGGACAATTTTTCAATCCTCCTCCTGGCTAGTGACTTCTGTCGGTAGGATCTCAACTTCAAGTAAACCAGGTCTCTTGGCTCGAAGTGTACTTCTCTCATGAGCTTATCAGCCTTTCACTTCATGATCTTTTGGGCCCTCAACAGATGTCCCTTAAGCTATGCTAATATCCTATCTCTCTTCTCTAAGTACTAATCTAGTGATATGCCCATAATGTATCAAATGAGGTGGATCTCTCTAATAGAGATTCCTGAAAGGGGTGGTCTATGCTGCTGAATTGTATAAAGTGTTGTACCACTACTCGGCCCAAGTAATCAACGTTGCTCAACTCTTATGTGTATTTGATATAAAACATCGCAAATAGGTCTCCATGCTTATGTTGACCACCTCTATTTGACCATCTATCGGGGGATGTTATGCTGTGCTCTGCTTCAGGATTGTTCCTTATAAGTGGAACAACTCCTTTGAGAAATGACTGAGGAACACTTTGTCTCTATCTGACACAATGGACTATGGAAATCCATGTAAGCTCACCACCTCTCATATGAAAGCAGTAGCCACAGAGGCCGCGAAGTAAGGATGCTTCAGTGGGATCAAGTATTCATACTTTCACAGACGATATAATACTAGTAGTATCATAGAAAATCCCTCTGAACGTGACAAACCCTCAATGAAATCCATCGTCACCTCCTCCCACACCCTCATCGATAGAGCTAGAGGTTATAGTAATCCTCCTAGTGCCATGGCCAAGTACTTGTGTTGCTGGCACACATCATATCTCGCCACCTAGTCTTTTACATCTCGATGCATCCCCACCCAGTATAACTCCACAGACAACCGACTGTAGGTTTTCTGAATTCCTGAGTGTCCTCCAACTGTGATGCTATGAAACTCTTGCAACAGCTTAGGAATGTACCCCGATGTCCTCGATAAGATGAATTGCCCCTGATGTAAGCAACTGGGGTCTTCTCAGTTTGTAATAGAAATGATTATCTGAGTCCTGCAACAACTCAGCTCTAATCTTCTTCAGACCCTCATCCTGTTTGCTCTCGTGTCTCAAGGCTTCCCAGTCTCAGACCATAAGTACTGATAAAGCTGTCCAATATGTTTTGTTTATCTTCCTCGATAGGGTTGCCACTTTTGGATGGCTGAGATAATCTCCATCAACTACCGCTTGTATACGGACTTAAGCCTCGCCTTGGTCATGAGCACCTAGCTAAAATAAGCAATAGGTTGATGATGTTGCATGTGTATTGCCGCTAGTCTATATCCTGATGCATCGTCTCCACCACAAATGGTATGTTGAAGTCACGAAGTCCTAATACTGGCACACAGGTCATGACTTTCTTCAACTACTCGAAGGCTTATGTTGTTGCTTCCCCCCAACCCTGCCTCAAGTATCTCTCTGATGAGCCTCTCTATCTATCTCATTCCTCTAAATCTGTGGATATCGATACAGTCGAAGACTAAAATAATAAATAGAAAATTTGAATTACGAAAGTTAAATATCATGTTAAAATCTACATCCCCATTGAAAACTAGATTATATCAAAATTTGGAAAAAAATCAACATGATCAATCCGTGGACAAATTTTTGACTAGGAAATAAAAAGAATGAAAAAAATCACCAAATCAGGCCACATGCTTGTATAAGGAGACTACCTTCTCCCAAAAGTCT